GGCATGGGGCTGCAGTCCATGGGTCCCAGTATATGGCCCCCTTACCTATGAGGGGCACCAGCATGACTGGGGGTCAGGAATGAGGGGCACTGGCAGAGCCAGGGGACTGTGAGTTAGGACTGGCCATCAATGTTTACAAATTTGTCCTAGTAAAAAAAAAAAAAAAAAAAGGTTGAGAACCACTACACTTTGCTTGTGTGAGGACAGCACACAAGCAAAACCAAAAACCAACAATGAAATCCTGTCTTATGTATGGCAGTATAGTGCAAGATCATAGAGTGCACACAAATTCAGACTGAGCCTCAGGAGAAGGCCTGGAATAAGGAGGAAGATATAAGCCAGTTATATACACACACATTATCTTCCATCTACTCAATGAAAGCTGTACATTACCATAGTGGTCTGCATTCGGTCTTCTACGAACTGAAGAACTCGTGTTCGTAGATCTATGCCTATAGGAAGTCTAGCCTAAAGCCAAAAAGAAAAGTAATAGTCAGTCACTGAAGGAGAAAGATCTCGACAATGAAAGCTCTTTAGAAGACAGGCCATACATTGCAAAAAAATGTACCGTCTCCATATCTGGTGCATACATAGATGAATGTGTGTATTCAATTTATGTAGTGCAATTTCCTTATATTTACATAGTATCTTTCTTTTATCCACCCAGGCTGTAAAGAAAGGATCCAATCCTACAATTTCTTATTCATTCATTTCTGCTTATAAGTATTTCAAGACAGAGTACTTCCATACAGAAAAAGGAAATGAAAGAGACCATGGCACTTACCCAGAGAATGCATTTATCTGAACTTAACACACACAGAGCTAAATAAGCATATAGTCCTATCAGTGCTGTGATACTGGCACCCCAAAACCAACTGTTACTGCTGGAACTACTATCAGAAACCTTGAAAAAGAGGGGAGATTAAGCTAATCAGGTTCCCATCTGCCATCATTTTCCAAGCTTCTAACACCAGCCCTTTGAAAGATATTTCCCCTTCACCTTCTCTGGCTCAGTTAAGGGGAGCACAAATAGTTACAAAATGGATGGTTACAGTTTACTAGAGTACAATTAAGTTACAACGTAGACAGTGGATAAAAGATGTCATGTACTCAAATGCTTTGTGGACTTAACAGATATGCCAGCAGTTCCCAACCTTGGGTTCACAACCCCATTTAGGGTGGCAGGTCATGACGATAAAAAAGGGGTCGCAGACTGTCAAAGATTTTCTCCTTTAAAGGAGAAAAATGTCAGAAATGGTGGGTTCCCCTTGCAGGCTGACAGAGTTGCGGCCCGCAAGGGGCTGCTTGTGGCTGGAGGGAGTAGGAGGAGGGCGATGAGGCAGGGGGTGCCACGTGCACGTGCACACACATACACGTGGCAGTAAGGCATCACGGAGAGTAGCTGCCACAGCTCCCTCCAGATAGGTCTATGGGGCAGGGGGAGGGCAGACCAAGGCCCTCATGGCAAGGGAGGGAAGAAGTGGGGTAGGCCTGGGGCTGCGAGTGCTGCCCAGCCAGGCCCATGCATGGGGCCCAGGGCCAGGCCAGG